TTTTTTTTTTGGTTTTTTAAGACAGGGTCTCTCTATGCACGTGAGACTGACCTGGAACTCACTGTGTAGCCCAGGCTGGTCTTGAACTCACAGCGATCCTCCTGCGTCAGCCTCCTGAGTGCTGGGATTACAGGCCTGCGCCACCAAGCATGGCTTATGTGTTGTTCTTTTTAAAAGTTTTATGGTGTTGACTTTACTGTTTTTAATTTAAACCCTATGACTTGCACAGTTGCCCTCTTCCATAAGAGGGATGCAAGGCCCAATTTTCTCTCCTAGGGATGTGAAAATTAATTGTACAAAATGGAGTCATGCCTGTCACACCCTACTGAAATAGAATTGAGGAAATACTGTTGGCTTGTTCCAAAATTCTTTTGGAGAACTAAAGGAGACATCTTATTTGTTTTGTTTTATGTTTTTCCAATACTGGGGATTGAACCCAAGGCCTTCATTTGGGCCACATCCCTAGCCCTTTTTAATTTTGCAATAAGGTCTTGCTAAATTGTCTGTGCTTGGCCTGAACTTGCAATTTTCATGCTTCGTCCTTCCAGGTTACTGGGATTACAGGCCTCTGCCCCTGCTGGGCTCTAGTTTATCTTTTAAGACTATTTTTACTTAGCAACTGCCAGCTAGAACCTTAACACTAACTTTTCATAGTAACTGCCATGGCTGAGTTAGCCGTCTTTTAGAAGCACTGATTGATGCCAATGAGCTTTTTTTTCTCCCCTCTAGCACTGAGGATCAAACCAGTGTTCTACCACTAGGTTGTATCCCCAGCCCTTTTTTATTCTTTATTTTGAGGCAGTGCTAAGTGGTCTAGGCAAACTCAGAATCTCAGTCCTTCTGTCTCAGCCTCCCTCAGTGCTGGGAGTACAAGTCTGGCTGCCCATGAACTTTTGTTAAAACAACGTGTAGATTTTTCTGTCCTAATAAAGCCCCTAAGCTTTCCTATGTTTTGTGGCTGACCCACCATAGGCTGTATGTGTGTCCAGGATTGCAATTTTCTTTAATCCCCAAATAAAAGTTCTTTTTGTTAGAGAGTTGTGCCAGTGTTTTTGTTTGAATGTGACAGTGTATGTGTGTGTGTGTGTGTGTGTATGTGTGTGGTAGACCCAAGCCAGGGGCCCAAGAGCTACAGGAGGCCAGGACATAAGATTCCTACCTGGAGTAGCCAGGACTCCCTCTAGTTTAGAGGTTGGGTCAGCTATGGGACTGCTGGCTTCTGCAGTTGAGCTCTTCAAGCCCAGTGGACTTTTGTGACTTCAGATAACCAAACCAACCTTTCACCAGACCCCCTGAACCTTGACTGCCAGATGTCTCCAGAGACTGCCAGCCTGTCTTCTCTCCTGGTAGTGCTCTCTCTCTCTACCTTTTTCTCCTCAATCCAGGGTGAATATAAAATAAATGTTTGTATAGAAAAAACATGTCTGGGAAATACAAAGCCAAATTCAAATGAAAATTATTCTGAGAGGGGAGAGAGAGTAAGACTGGAGGGGGTTGGAATTCTATTACCTATAATTAATTAATTTGCTGTGCCGAGGGTTAGACCCAGGGCTTTCACACTGAGTTTTATTTCCAGGCCTTTCAAATTTTGTTAAAAAATATTTTGAAAAAAAAATTTTGAGACAGGGTTGTACTAAATTATGTTTGCCAGGCTGGGCTGAAATTTAGAATCCTCCTTTAGTCTTCCAGAGTGCTGGGATTATGGGTGTGTGCTGCCAGTCAGGTTTCAATTATTTAATATGAATGAAATAGAGGAAAAATATTAAGACTTCATGGCTATTGGTTATATTATAATTTTAATTTTTTCAGTAATGGGGATTGAATGCAGGGTCTTCACACTGAGCTACATACACAACCCTTTTTATTTTTTATTTAGAGTTGAGGGTCTTGCTAAGTTTCCAGACTGGGCTTAAACTTCCCATCCTTATGCTGCAGCCTCCTGAGGTTATATTATACTTTTAACCATTACTTAAGAGTACACCCTTACATTTAAAAAAATTTACTAAAAAAAAAAAATGCTATTTTCTTTCAGCGGTAACTTCATACATCTTTTGTTTACTGTCTCTAGGTTGGACCCAGAGGCCAAATTGAATGTGAATGTTGTGTCTCATTCTTGTAACCCCAGCACTCTAGGAGGCTGAGACAGAAAGGTTAAATATTTGAGTTCAGAGCTGGGTGTGGTGGCAAACTCCTATAATCCTAGCATTCAGGAGGCTGAGACAGGAGGATCCCTGTGTTTGAGGCTGAGTTTGAGACCAGCCTGGGCTACACAATGAGTTCCTGGTCAGTCTCAACTACATAGTGAGACCCTGTCTCAAAAACACAACAAAACAAAACAAAACAAAACAAAATTTTGAGTTCAGTCTGGGCAATTTAGGGAGACCATGTCTCAAAACAAACAGACAAATAAACAAAACAAAGTCAGGGATGTAGCCTTGTGTGAAGGCCCCAGTACTGAAACATACAAGCATATAAATGAAATTAAACAAATTAAAGAAAAACACATTGACTGATTGACTTATATCATCTAGGATTCTATAAATATACTTGTATCTAGATCTCCCCCCAAAGCCTTGTGCAGTCATAGGTGGGGTGTTTCAGAGGTGGCTGGATCTAGAGTGTGTGACCCTTGGATTGATTCATGGTGCAATGCTAGGATTCCTGGTACGAGAATTAAGGGTGTGAGAGCTACCTGGCCTAAGCAGCCTGGATAAGATATAAAGGATAGAGAGCTGCGGTCATTTATGTCAGACATCCCTGCCCAGGACCAGTGGTTATGAGTGGCAAATCCTTCTTACCTCCCTTAATTCAGCTGCACTGTTCTATATCAGGAGTCAGACCAAAGCCTTACATAACTCAAATGGGCATATCAGGTAGCAGAGTTGGGTTAGTATTGCTCCTTTGCTAATGGCTGTCATCCAGGTCTAAGTCCTGGCCTGTGAAGTGGCAGTGCCCTCCTGAGTTACATGCAGCTGAGGTTAGTGTAATTCGAATTAAAATTCTTTTCTCTGAATTATTACTTCTCACTGACCCAAAGGGTTACCTGCTAATTGCACGCTATCCCAGGACCAGTTTTTTTCTAGCCAAGCAAGAAAGGTGAGCTTACTCCCTAACTACCCTGCCTGGCACCATCATGCCAGGTGTTCAGCAATATTTCACTAGATGCCTTCTAAGCCTACCCAGAGCCCTATCCCTTCCCACAAGTGTATTCAATAAATACTGGATACACCTGTGTGGGGTTCTTTGTCTTTGCTGCCTTTAGCAGCATTGATCGGGTCCCAAGACTCAGTTTCTCTATAAGCGTAGTTTCTGTGTTATTCTTTAATTCATCTTGTGCTGTGGTGGCTCACACACTGGGACCTATAGCAGAGGTCTTGGAAACACACCTTTCCCTGTTCCCTATACTTGTGCATTGTTGCTTTATTACATTCTGCCCCTCCATGAGCTGTTTCTCCTCTGCCATGCCACCCTGCCTTGGAGCCAGACGATTATGAATCGAAACCTATACAAACTGTGTACTAAATAAACTCTTTCTCCTTTAACTTTGAGTGTCAGGTATTTTGTCTCAGCAACAAGAGAACAGTAACTAAAATAACACTTTATGGTGTTTACACAACAAAATTGTCTAACCGCAAATATCTCTTAAGAGACGCATGCCTATTTGATGTTGCTGCAGAAAGTGTAATTTGTTTTAATGAATTATATAAGTAGAAATTACCAACTACAAAGGTTAAGAAAAAATTTATGAGATACTTGAATTTGTTAAGATTTTAATTTGTCATCATTTTCACTTATTTTTTAGTAAAAATAAGAGTAATAATGAATCTTTCCTAAATATCTAGACTCCTTGTTCTTAATTAAAGTGAATTAGAAAATAGCAAGGATGCTGTGACATTTAGTCTTGATTGTCCCTTGACTGTCTCATGCCTAAGAGGTTGGTAAAGCATAATGCTGGGTGTCTTTGGGTGAGCCATGGAGGTGTGACTGTGGGTACTATGTGTGTTGCAGAAAGTCACAAACTACAGACCCAGTCCATTGAAAAGTCGTGCTATCTGATCTCCTTTGGGTTCTAAATGCTACTTGTCAGTCCTTATTTTATTCATTGCTTGTTAAATACTTTTTGCATTCTTTTTTGCAGCTGTTTCAAATTTTGTATGTTTTCAATTTCTAATCTCATCCTGTCTCCCTCACTCTAACATACTACCTTGCTTCTTTCACCTGCATTATCCAGTGTGAGCTCTTGAAAGTCTCATCCCTTTGTCCTCTGATATCTCAGCTGCCATTCCTTCTCTGTAACCTCACATTCCTCTTTATCTTCATTTCTTTTTTCC